AGACATTTGTTTCTCACAGTTCTGTAGGCTGCAAGCCCAAGCCTAAGGGGTCCCACATTTGGGTCTCCTGAGGCCTCTCTCCTTGGCTTGCAGATGGCTGCCTTCTCACTGCCTCCTCATAGGGCCTTTCCTCTGGGCATACCCATCCCTTACATGGCATCTCTTCTTATATGGACAGCATTCAGGTTGGATTAGGCCCACCCTAATGCCCTCATTTTAACTGAACCACCTTTTTAATGACCTCACCTCCAAATACAGTCACAATCTGAGCTATGGTGTCTCGGGTTAGGACTTGAATATATGAATTTGGGGTGGGTGGGGAACAACTCAGCCCACAATACTCATTATTTGCATTACCTCTGATCTTCCTTGGTGACTGCTTCTTGGAAGACCCCAAACTAACATCAGACTCTCTTCCCCCAAACCCACACTCACCTCTTTTATTCTGTATATTAGCACCATCCCTTTTCCTTAATAGCATTTCCACAATTGTATGTACTTAATTTATTACATTTTTTGTTCTGTTTACCCTATCTGATGGAAAACTGCATTAGGGTAAGAACCACATATAAAATGGATTCACTGTTATGCCTTGATGCCTGGCATAGTGCCTAGTATGAAGTGGGCATGTGACCAATATTTATTGAATGGGAGTATTTTTTCTGCCTCTCAAATCATCTAATGATGCAGATACCACTGTCAGCATGTTTTGTGTCTTGTGATTTTTGGTGGAAGCCAATTATTTGAAACCAAGAAATCAAACTTCCCTGAAAAGACATGATGAGCCTTAAAATCGCAAATAATCAGGACACCCTGGAAATCAGAGTGAAGCCACTTTGAAAAATTCTTAAGACCTGACAGAATGTGACACTTCAGACAGTGCTGATGAGACAGGGGCCTTGGGTGTAGTCAGACTAAGGTGAGGGCCTCCGGAAAAAGTAAGGCAGGATATTTACAGTCAAACCAATGTAACAATATAAAGGATGGCCAACTAGGAATGTAAACATGTTCAGTGAGATCAGTTAAAGGTCAAAAGGCCAGGAGCAACTTGGCCTGGAATGTCTGAGTGTTCTGCAAGGGTACCTCAGCATAACCCATGACTTCACTGTATCTCAACTGTAAACAGCCCTAGCAAAGAGACAATAACCCAGCCCACCTTGGGGGCAGGGCACATGGTACAAGTCTGCACCCCTAGCCCTTTACCCACATTCCTGAAAATCGTCAACGAACTGTAAATACCCTAGACAACGCACCACCCTGAGCTCTCTTGTCCCCTCCTGGTGTAAGGCAGGAGCTCTTTCCTCTCACTTTATTTCTCAATAAAAGCCTCTCCCTGGCTCTCCTACCTTGGGTGTTTGCTAAGTTCATTCTTTGGCTTTGTAAACAAGAACCCCAGCTTCACTGAGAGAAAGCAGGAATTCAGAGGAGCTGATTTTCAAAGGGAATCTTCATGGGAAACTAGCAGAGGACCCCAAGACCTGGCCCAATAAAATTAGCCTTTTCATGCCTATAAGCAAACAAGGCTTCTGAGGGACATTCAGAAATCTAAGTTAGAGGGAGAGAAGAGAGGAAGAACATCTTTGACTTGGAATCTGCCATTGCAGGACTCAGTCAGCAGGATTTCCTAGCCCTGTACTTCTTTAGATCCTGTCTCTGAGCTGTTTCACCTCCTCCAACACCGTTAGCACAAGGCCAACTTCCCCACACTCCGGTTTAAGTGAAAGAAGAAATGAAACTGTCTGCAGCTTATGGGTGAGCTAAAGGGCCAATGTACCTGGCTTGGTGTTTGCTCTTCCTTTGTGTTGTTAATTTTGTGTTCTTTTAGGTTTCTTCCATTTTGGACTGCAATACACAATAAAGGGCTTGTTCAGTAATATTAAGTCTCATAAAGAAGTTTCTGGTGGCAGTGAAGAGGCAGTACTGCACAGTGATTAATCCATGGATTTGGACGCTATATTGGTCAAGATAGATGAGGTCATGGTGCAGTAGCAAACACCACCCAAATTCCATTCATGCAATTTGGTGGTCGTAGGCTGCTCAGGCTGCTAGAACAAAATATCAGAGGCTGAGTGGTTTAAACAACAGAAACTTATTTCTGACAGTTTTGGAGGCTAGGAAGTCCAAGGTCAAGTGGCCAGCAGATTTGGTGGCTGCTGAGAGCTCTCTTCTTAGCTTTCAGTGGCCAACTCTTTAATGTGTCCTTCCCATGGCATGATAGCATTCAGGAGAATAAGTTCTCTGGTGTCTTTTCTTATAAGCCCACAAATCCTTCATGAACGTGTATCAACTTAATCACATCCCAAAGGCCACACCTCCAAATATCATCACAATGCATTTTGAGGGGACACAAACATTCAGCCTGTAACAGTGCTCCTCCTTGGTCACCTGGGGCTATGCTCCGATCATTCTCCCATTGCAACCCAGGCTCACAGAGCCATAACCATCTGGGACATTGCCATTCAGCAGAGCAGAGGGAAAAAGAATGTTTTAAGCTAAGCACTGACCTCTGCCTTCAAGAGGCACATGTCCCTTCTGTAAACAAACATTTCCTTGAACAAAAGCAAGTCACAACAGTGGAATTTAGTCAGAGCAGAAAAATGAAAAAAGGGGAAGATAGCTTCAGGGACATATGGGATAACATCAAACAGACTAATATTTGCATTATAGGGCTCCTGGAAGGAGAAAGAGGGAGAAAGGGGCAGAAATCTTATTTGATGAAATAATGGTTGAAAGCTTCCCTAACATGGTGAAGGAAATGGACATCAAGATCCAGGAATCCCAAAGAGTTCCAAAAAAGGTGAACCTAAAGAGATCCACACCAGGACACATTAATTAAAATGTCAAAATTTAAAGACAAGAAGAGAATATTAAAAGCATCAGGAGAAGAGCAACTTGTTATATATAAGGAAACCCTCAAAAGACTACTAAGATTTTTCAGTGCAATTTTGTAGGCCAGGTGGAAGTGACATGATATATTCAAAGTGCTGAAAGAAAAAAAATTTCAAGCAGCAATACTCTACCCAGGAAAGTTATCATTCAGAATTGAAGGAGAGAGAAAGATTTTTTCCAGACAAGCAAAAACTAAAGGAGTTTATCATGGTAAACTGCCTTACAAGAAATACTAAAGGGTCCTCTTTAAACTGAAAAGAACGGGCAATAATTACTAACAAGGACGCATATGAAAAATACATTTCACTGGAAAAGTAAATATATAGTAGAGGTAGTGGGTTAATTACTTATAAAGCTACTATGAAGGTTAAAAGACAAAAGTAGTAAAAATAATTATCACAATAATTAGTTAAAGGATACACAAGATACAAAGATGTAAACTGTGACATGAAAAATATAAAATGTTGGGGGAAGGAGAGTAAAAATATTTTAGAATGGGACCAAACTCGAGTTGTTATCAACTTAAGATAGGTAGTTACAGAGGTAAGTTGTTACATGAAAGCCTCATGGTAACCACGAAGCAAAAAACTATAGTAAAGACATAAAAGAGAAAGAGAAAGGAATATAAGCGTACAATTCAAAGAAACTCATCAAACCACAAAAAAAGAGAGCAAGATGGTGTTGGCAAAACTGGACAGCTACATGTAAGAGAATGAAACTGGATCATTGTCTAACCCCACACACAAAAGTAAACTCGAAATGGATCAAAGACCTGAATGTACGTCATGAAACCATAAAACTCTTAAAAAAAAACATAGGCAAAATCTCTTGGACATAAACATGAGCAACTTCTTCATGAACATATCTCCCCAGGCAGGGGAAACAAAAGCAAAAATGAAGAAATGAAACTATATTAAGCTGAAACGCTTCTGTACAGCAAAGGACACCATCAATAGCACAAAAAGGCATCCTACAGCATGGGAGGATATATTCATAAATGACATATCCAATAAGGGGTTGACATCCAAAATACATAAAGAGCTCATGCACCTCAACAAACAAAAAGCAAATAATCCAATTAAAAAAATGGGCACAGGATCTGAACAGACACTTCTCCAAATAAGAAACTCAGATGGCCAACAGGCACATGAAAAGATCCTCCACAAGGCTAATCATCAGAGAAATGCAAATTAAAACCACAATGAGATATCACCTCAGACCAGTTAGGACGCCATCATCCAAAAGACAAACAACAACACATTCTGGCGAAAATGTGGAGAAAGGGGAACCCTCCTACACTGCTAGTGGGTATGTAAACGAGTTCAAGCATTGTAGAAAGCAGTATGGAGGTTCCTCAAAAAACTTAAAATAGAAATACCATTTGACCCTGGAATTCGTCTCCTAGGAATTTACCCAAAGAAAACAGGATCCCAGGTTCAAAAAGACATATGCACCCCTATATTTATTGCAGCACTATTCACAACAGCCAAGATATGGAAGCAACCTAAGTGTCCATCAGTAGATGAATGGATAAAGAAGAGGTGGCACATATACAAAATGGAACACTATTCAGCCATAAGAAGAAACAAATCCTACCATTTGCAACAACATGGATGGAGCTAAAGGGTATTATGCTCAGTGAAATAAGCCAGACGGAGAAAGACAAGTACCAAATGATTTCCCTCATTTGTGGAATATATCAACAAAGCAAATCTGAAGGAACAAAACAGCAGCAGACTCACAGACTCCAAGAAGCGACTAGGGGTTACCAAAGGAGAGGGGCGTGTGGGAGGGAGAAGGGGATTCAGGGTGTTATGATTGGTGCACATGGTGTGTGTGAGGTCACCGGGAAGACAGTGTAGCTCAGAGAAGACAAGTAGGGACTCCATGGCATCGTGCTATGCTGATGCACAGCGACGGCAATGGGGTATGGGGGGACTCGATAATATGGGTGAATGTAGTACCCACACTGTTTCTCTTGTGACACCTTCAGAGCGGTGTATATCAATGATACCTTAATAAAAAAGAAAAAAAAAGTTCACATTATACCAACTGACTTTTATGAAAGACTTCAATGCTTTTCCTTTTCCTTTTTCTTTTTTGCTGTCTCGCCAAAGGGTCTCGTGCTGAGTACCTGGTGCCCGCGGCGGCCGCGCTGGCCGAGCTGGCTGGGGGGCCACCGCGGCCTGGGGGGGCCCTGAGCCGCGAGCCCTGAGCTGCCATTCGCGCGCCGTCTCCCGGCAACTTCGGAACGCGCGCCGCCAGCACACAATGCCCGCCCGCCTCTAGCCCAGGCGCGCTAGCGAAGGCAGGCAGTCTGGCAGAGGGAGCCACGGAAGCCGCTCGCCCGCCGGACAGAGTTCCCTGATGGCTCCCGATGGGAGGTTTTATGAGCAAGCTCCGCCCCCCGCAGCCCGCCCTCGTCCCGGAGGCCAGGAGCCGGCGGAGAGGCCGTGACCGCCGCCAGCCCGCGCGCCCGGCCTTCCTCGCAAGCCCCGCCCTCCCCGCAAACCCCGCCTCGCCTACTCCCTGGACCCACCAAGATTCCATTCAGCCCTCAGTCCCCACTCGTTTCCTCGGGTCCCCTCGGAGGCCTTCCCGCCGGTAAGACTCGCTGACCCTCCCCAGACCGAGGACTTGACTTTGAAAGTTTTTTTTTCTTAAGTCCTAAGTGGGTTCTGTGCTGTTTTCACCTCTTCAAACACCTTGGTGCGCGTCCGCCGTGTCCTGCCTCCCTTTAGCCTTTACTATGAGATGTGCTGCCAGAACTGTTCCCTTCTTTCAGTTCTTTCTTTTGGGGTCATTTTTCTATTCCTTTTATTTTTAGTTTTTAATTTTTTTGGTAATACTAGTGTACAGTTACATGAGCAACATTGTGCTTACTAGACACCCCCATCAAGTCCCCCCCACATACCCCATTACAGTCACTGTCCATCAGCGTAGTGAGATGCTATAGAGTCATTACTTGTCTTCTCTGTGTGCTATACTGCCCTCCCCGTGCCCACCCTCCTACATCATGTATGCTGATCCTAATGCCCCTTATTCCCCTTCTCCCTCCCTTCCCACCCACCCTTCCCAGTCCCTTTTCCTTTGGTATCTGTTAGTCCATTCTCGGGTTCTGTGAGTCTGCTGCTGTTTTGTGTCTTCAGTTTGTCTTTGTTCTTATGCTCCACAGATGAGTGAAATCATTTGATACTTGTCTTTCTCTGCCTGGCTGATTGCACTGAGCATAATACCCTCCAGCCCCATCCATATTGTTGCAAATCCTTCTTTCAGTTCTTAAAGCTCTGAACTTTAATACAGTATGGGTTTAGCAGAATACTTGGTAAATCACTTAAAATATCCCTGCTTCAGGTGAGAATAACTTCTGTCTGTAAAGTATAGTACTCTAATAGGTTTTGTTACTTTTTTATCTTTGGACCGATAAATTATATCAACTGAGCTCATAGAGGTGTACCCAGGAAACCTCCTTGATGGATATAACTTGGCTGATAAAGATGATTAGATTAAAAAGACTTGTGTTTTTGTTTAGTCCCAGTAGCTGAGTGATAACAAAATTCAAAACTTCGGTGACAACACTAGATCCTTGATAAGTACATTTATTTGAAAAGGTGAGCATTCAGGTTTTTAAAATGTTTGACTTTGGATGTATGTTTCTGATGACTGAACATAAGAGATTGAAGGATTCTAAAATTTGTCCCTGCACGTCCTTATGCACTCTTTTCTTCCACTGTAGTTTTACTAGTGTGGGCAGTTTTTCAATTTTCCCCTCAAAGTTGTTGAATCCATTGCAGGGACAGCTGTTAAGTACCTGCCACTTCCTGCCCTTAGGTGAAACGGGGAAAGTTGCCATAAAAATGCCGTGTTTTGTATTGCTTAGAGGCTTAAGCTCTCTGGAAAATAACTGAACCCACATGGTTCTTAAGGAATTTAAATTTTCTGTCATTCTTCTAAGCTGCTTTGATTCCATAATGTGTCTCCCATTCTCCACAGGGTCTGTGGGACTTCACCACACCACTTTGGCATAACACGTCCAAGACGATACCCAGTCCAGCAGGCCCAGTATTCCTGTGTGCTTCCCACGCTGTGCCGGAATGGCGGTCACAGGAAGCGTGTGCTGTCTCGTGGTAATTCCAGAGTGGTGTGCAGGCCTTCGACAGTGAGGATCGCTCCTCCCGGGAGCAACCTGGCTCGTTTTCCAATGTAAGCATTGCTGGAGGAAAAGACTCCCAGTGTGTCCACTTTATTCTCCTGCAGTTGTTCATCTGAGAGAATAACTAACTCAAAGGAAAGGAAGAAGCTCCTTATGTGAGGGAGAAATCTCAAGTTCCAGTTATTGAGCAATTTTTTATTTTTTGGGTTTTTCCCAAGACTGTAGCTTAACAGCTAAGGGCAATTTGTGTGAGTGTATAAATTACTCTTTTCCTTTTTGGATAGCTTCTGATTTCCAGCACCTGAAGTTCATGCTATGTAGCATGATGATCAGAATATCTTAATGCTAGAATCCTGTTTTCTGTTACAGAGCACTGCAGACCCCAGACCCGTGGTCAAAGGAGGCTGTTCTGCTTGCCCTGGAACATTGGAAGAGGAAGAAAAGGACAGTGGAGGAGGAGGAAGACCAAACATCTGCTGCTGGTCAGGAGGACAAAAGAAGGTAACATGCCCTGCAGAGTACTCAACGTGCCTCCCACACGGGCTCCTGGGATTTGTTGAAAGAGAGATCACTCCCCAAAAGAATCAGAGGCCACCTCCTGGGTGTGAACAGCAGGTCCCCTTCTTTGGCTTTCATGGAAGAGCTTGGTAACAAGAGCTTTAATGCTATACCTTTCATTAGGCACAGGTTACGTACATTTTATAATATACCTCTTCCATAAGTAATAGAGAAAAGCCGACAGTTACTGGCCACATCAGTTTCATACTTTTGATATAAATGTGTTAAATTTTATTTTGAGAGAATGCTGAAAGTCTTCCCCTTGTGGTGGTCAGTTATTTGGGTGACCATCAGCTTAGGTGTCATGTTTGTGCTGAAGGAAATTCTTAGCAAAGAACAGTGAAGACTGGAATATGGTAACTTTATGAGTAATGAGAGTAAAACCAGTTTCATTATTTGGATTTTGAAAATGTAACGAAAATAGAGGAAGCAGTCTGTTTCCTCGATGGAAAGCCAGGAAGTTGAACGTGCTGAGCAAGCTGCAGAACTGCTTGTGGCTTTCCAAGGAGTCAGTTAAGGATTCCACTCATTTTCCTGTAACTCAGCAAATTCCAAGACCCACCATGTGCCAGAGCCTACTCCAGGGACTGTGGATAGAGCAGTGAGCAAGAAAAAAGTCTCCTGGGACTTGGGTAATCAATGAAACAGGGTAATTATAGATTGTAAGCATATAAAGATTTTTAAAAAGCAGTGCTATAAAAGGGTCATGAGAAAGGGGGAGCTCTGTATATACGGTGGTCAAGGAAACATGCTCTGAGGAGACAATGGGCCCTACATTTGAGAAATAGAACCAGTGTCCTCAGGTTCACAGCTGGCCATCTTTGATACTGTAGATGGCAAAATTAGGTAAGGAAATACTAATAAATGCAAGTGTGTTCATTGGAAGATTGGTTGGAAGTAACGTTGGAAGATCAGGTAATGAATACTAGGGATATGCTTTACAAGTGAGCAGTCTGAGCTCATGTCAGCCAACTAAGCAGGAGTGGCAGAGGGAGATGGTGTGTTGGAGGTCAGAGAGAAAATAACTATTCTTATGGTCAAAACAGGTTTCTCATGTTCTCCAGGTTGGTAATTTGTCTAGACCCCAGTGAGCCTGTAACTGAGGGCTCTGTGTTGTCTTTCCCATAATTGGAATAAGCAGTGATTATGTGCACCATGCGCAGGCCCTTATCTGTGACCTGTGAAGTTCTTCTCTTACAGACTGAACTAAGTGAGAGCACTGGGGGATGTGTGTAGGTGGGTCGCTAAAGTGTTTTTTTGTCTTTAGTTTATGGATGGTAGGATATTAAATTTGTGATTGAAGTGCTTTGGTGAGAAGTTAGCAAATAATCAGTACACCTGAGTAGTTCAAAAGGTCTTGATGCATTTTTATACTTTTCTTATTAGATTAGGACAGTCTTAGAATAAACTGAGCTTCCCGAATCTTAGAGATCTGAAGCAACCTTTTCTTGTCTAGCATGAACCTATGTTTGGTAGAAAGAGTATAAGATCCCAGGAATATGAGAGTATGCTTTGAAGAAGAAGAAGTATCATCTAACTGAGGGATTGCGATTTGTCACAGGTGCCATGACAGCAGTGGGAGTGGCCATTCAGCTTTTAAGCCCAAGGTGGCCAACGGAGTCTCTGCTGCTTTTGTGTCTGAGTAAGTGAGAATCCATCTGGGTGAGGTTTCCTGTTTGGGAAAAGGTCATTGTCAGACTTACTGACCTGTAAGTTTTCCTCTTTGAAATCAGAGGGGAACATTCTGAGTAACTTGCCACAATAACTATTTTCTCTAATTCCGTTTACTATTTTTCATTAATATGCATAAAATATGCTAAGGCTAAGAGGGTTTGTAGATACACTGAATAACCAAGTATGTAACAAAAAGATCACAAGGTTTGTGCAATGGATAGAATGTAGCAGTACGAAATTTAAGAAAAATGTGAGATTTCTGCATTTGAGCTTGATTATATTTGAGGAAGAATTGGCTGGGAGGGAAAGAGGCTGGAAATGTATGTGAAAAGACTTGGGGTAACTTACATTTTTTAAAATTTTGGTATCATTATTCTACAATTACATGAAGAACATTATGTTTACTAGGCTTCCCCCTTCACCAAGAGCCCCCCACATACCCCTTCACAGTCACTGTCCATCTGTGTAGTAAGATGCTGTAAAATCACTACATGTCTTCTCTGTGTTGTACAGCCCTCCCCGTGCCCCCCTCGCACTATACATACTAATTGTAATGCCCTTTTTCTTTTTCCCCGCCCTTATCCCTCCCTTCCCACCCATCCTCCCCAGTCCCTTTCCCTTTGGTAACTGTTAGTCCATTCTTGGGTTCTGTGATTCTGCTGCTGTTTTGTTCCTTCAGTTTTC